TCCACGCACAGGCAGAGAAGCTCCAAACCATAAACGAATACATTCACCAGCAGATAAGTCTGCTCTCAAGCGCCCGATTGACTCTAATATCCGCTTCTTTTTCCCTCTTGCTCCTCCTGACAGAATTATGGACCCGACCTTACTGAGAGAGCGAGAGCTGTTCAAAAAGCGTGCTCTCTCCACACCAGCCGTAGAGAAACGTCCAGCGCCATCTTCTGACTCCTCTTCCTCAAAAAAGAAGAAAGCTAAGGTAGAACAAAGTGGCTCCTCAAGCTCAAAACAAAACACAGGTTGGTGAGTCTTCTCTTAAGCAGCTGCTTGGTATTTTCCACTGTCAGCCTCTAAGCTGTGGCCTCTCTGTATTAGTCTGTGAATTTAGAGTGGCTGTTGTCATTCCTTCCCTTAAAATGTCACTTTTTCTTAAGAAATTCACTCGTGCAGTGGTGAAAAAAACACTTTGGCTGCCACATATATATGTCAGGCCTTGTCCTGCGACTTGTTTGCTCCTCCTCTCCATTGGAAGAATCTCTTCTGCCAGAATATTATTCTGTGTGAAGCTGAGTTTGTGGGTTTCAGTATTCGCTGGGCCCACAGGACAGGCACTGACAGTGCTCTTGCTTTTTTCCACTCCTCTTTAGAGAGCACCTGAAACTTAATTTTGTTAACTGTAACTCATCTGTCCATCCTTAAGATGGGTTTTGCAGTTTAAATCATGTCTGGTGAACACATTCTGGTTAGCAGTGGTTCTCGTTTGACCTGGGAATCAACACCAGTGCTTCTGCAGGTTTCTGGCTGCTTTGGTGAGGAGTTTTGTTGTTTCCCTGGGATGGTGGTGCTGATTCTTTGATGTCACATAAGCAGTTAATAAAGCAGTAGCAAAATAGTGGGGGAAAATGAAGGGTGCAGCACCTGGAACACCAGGGGGAGGATTGGTGTACATGCAGCAGCATGCTCTGTGTTTGCTTCCATTGTGCAAGACTTGAATTTGGGAGCCCTTTTCACTTTTCTGAAAGCACTGGCAATTCTTGGATGCATTCTAAAGCTCAAATCCAGTGTCAGAGGTACTTGAACACAAAATACCCTGCTGTGCAAACTCATTGTGTGCTCATGTTTTGAATACTTTGTTTAACTCTCTTCTAAAAAAGAAGAGATAGAGCTAAAAACAACAGAGAAAAACATCAAGGATGATGGGAGGAGTGGAGCATCTTCTATCAGAGGGGAAGAGTAGGAAGTTTGAGTGTGTATCTCCAACTTCTCAGGGCACTAAATAAACTTATCAGTTTAAAAGAAACCAAGGGAGTCCAGGTTTCCATCAGTCCCTTTGCCACACTCTCCTCTCCAAAGAAAATAAAATTATATGTGGAACATCGTAAACTGCATATGTTGAGCGAGAGCAGTTTGCTGGGAAGAAGAGATGGGGAGGCAGGAAGAGAGCAGACAGTGCAAATGTGAGTCTGATCCAGAGGATTTAAGTGGATATGTGGCCCGGTGCAGAGGAGATAAAGAACATGTCATTTTTTTTTCCTGTGGTTTTGTGGGCTGGGTGTTTCTTGAAGTGCTTTTGCACCTGTCAAATGATTAGCTTACACAAGTAGGAATGTGTGGCTGGGAGGAAGTATGTGTTACCTTTTACACTGCTGGCTTTATTCCAGACAGCACTGGAAAGCTTTCAGGGTTTCTAGAATGCTTTTATGCAGAATGAGTTCAGCCTCCTTTCATTTCCCTCTGGGGAATATTTACTAACTACTGCAGAATCAGCAAGGGTGGAATGAAGATAATGGAGAGCAAATAGACACAAACTTTCTCCCTCCTGCTCTCGGAATTGGCTCAGAGCAAGTGTTCAGGCTGGCAAGTGACTGGCCGGGTTGGGCAGCACAAGTTGCCTACTAAAACTGCCACCTACCTGGGCCATCAGCTTCCATTAACTGTGCTTTTAGTTTGGGGTTGGTTTTTTTGGTGGGTTTTTTTTGTTTGTTTGTTTGTTTGTGGTTTTTTGTGGGGTTTTTTGTTTGTTTGTTTGTTTTTTGTTTTTCTGGGTTGTTTTTTTTTTGTTTGGTTTTTGGTTGTTTTTTTTGTTTTGGTTGGTATTTGGGTTGGGTTTTTTTCTATGTTTTTGTTTTGTGTTTTTAGCTGAAATGCTGCAGAATCAAACTTCTTTCCCTCAAAAAACAATTTTTATTTGTTAAATGCCTGTCAGGATATACCTGTGGCAGAGATGGGTCTTGAGGAGGTGGAGTAAAATCCTGATATTGCAGAATCCCTGTCTCACCTCTCTTCACCCCCAGAAGAAATTAAAATTGAGATGATCAGTCCTAATTTTGTTGCAAAATGACCACAAAGATGATAATTTCACAATGATTACATGTTGGCATTGCTAGTCTCTGGGTGCTAGTGCTTGCAGGTTCTCTCTTGTTCTGTGAATTCATGACTTGGAGAGCCTGCCCCTGTCACTTCTGGGGAGAGGAGAGGAATTGAGATCACAGTATTCTTCAAATGACTGCATGGCTAAATCTGGGCTGTGTGTGAAGATTTGATGTAAGCTTTCCAGTGAGAATAGTTGAATGTAGTTATTTGAAATCATTATTCAAACAAGTTATTTAGAAAAAACACAAAACTGCCTTGCTTACTTAGTTAAGAATAGAAACTGGAAAATACATGAAATAGGTCATATCTGTTACTTCTTTTTATTAATGAATAGTAAGTTGTGGCTAAGGTCTTAGTCTTTTTCTGAAGATCTTTGTTTTGATGGTCTTCGCCACAGTAATGAAGAGGCAAAATCTCCAGGAGCTGTTTCATGACTTACTCTACATGTGGGCAAGAATCATCTTGAGGCTCCAGGGTTCTGTGTCTTTTGTTCCTTGTGCAGACATCCAGCCCCCTTTATAGATCCGTGAAATAACTAGCTGGAATGAGTCCCAAGATTTTTCATTGCATGTGCTTCTCAGGAAGGTGGAGGACCACGATGCCAGCATGGCAGGGGCTTGCTGGGTTGCTTCCTACACACTACCTTTTTGTGTGCAGCAGTGATGAGCGTTTTGTAGGAACACTGCAAGTGGCCAGCAGTCCTTTTGCCATTTTGGGCTTTTGCTTTCAGGAAGAGGCACGTTAGTTAATTAATCTAGTGCGTCCCAATGGCTACTTTTGCCTCTTGGTCAGGACACAGGTTGTTCAGGGCTGATGCTGTCAAATACAGTGGAAGGAAATGAGTGTACCTGACAGCTAAAGATGTTCTCAGTACTAACATTATCTTTATCAGATGTCTTGGTGTGAATCCCAAGTTGTCTTGAACCTGAGGCATCAGCTTCTTCCTTAAATTGTGCTTATAGTTTGATTTTTAGCTGAAAGCATTCTCTGCACATGGGACTGGTACTGACAGAGCTTTGCTGTAGCAGGTGTATCTGAGATGAACCGTTGCAGTGGTAGTTGTGTCATTTTGTGACAGCAGAAGGGAGATTGCTTCTCCAGATGAATCACTCGACTGCCTCTGCTGGTTAGTAGTGGCCTGAGTATCTTGTGATTGCATCTCACCAACAAGGAAGAGCACAAGTCAGATTAGCAAGACTTTTTATTGTGTGCAGATCTTCTGGAGCTTAGGCATGCTGAACCTGGTGGAGGGAGTTTATATATATTTAAATGTTTAAAAAAGCTAGTAGGTACTGGCCATAGCACAGAGGTATTTCTGACATTGACAGACTGTGAAATCACTGTTGTAGCTTACTCATCCATTTGGCCATTAGGTGGGAATTGTTTCCCTAATAATGGGAATATTATTTGAGTTTAAATATCTTGTCCCATGCACAGCTTTAGCCTGGGACATTTCTCACTGGCTTATGCTTCTGTATGGGTTCAGTAGTGTGAAAGACTTAACCAGGCCTTATGGGTGGCCATGCTCTTGGATGCTGTTGTTATGGTCGTAATTTGTAACTGCAAAACTTTTGTGGTTTACAAACTATAGATGCATCTACAGAAGAAAAATAATCTAGTGAGCTGGAGTTGCAAGTGTTGTGTGCTCAGTTTGTGAGAAAGGCATGAGTATGAACAGTCTGGGCAGGCTGATGAAGCAAGCTGAGATTCTCTTGTGCAAAATGAAGTCTCTTTTCTTGCTGTGCATCCATCCTGCCATCTTTAGAGCAAGGCTTGTCCTGGTGTGGCCTCCTTTGCAAAGCATGTTGATGCCTAGAAGCTGTGTGGAGGTGAAATTACTGTTATTGGTGTGACAGGTCTGCAACCTGTCTGCTTGTGTCCCTTGGTCAATTCCAGTTCAGCTTTGAAAAGTTAAGCTAGGGGTGATATACCTAGCATGTCTGATTCCCGTTAGTATTGCAGTTACCATAGAGGCAGCAGCCTTGGGGCAGAAAAATGTCCTGTTTCTTCTAGACCATAGTGGTACACTTTTGTGGAAACAGTCAAATACTCTTAAGGTAGTGTGTTAATCATGTCTCAACACCCAGTTGTTGTTAAATAGGTTGAATAGGAAGTAAAGGAGAGCAGTTCTGTGGAACTGGAGGAAGAGAGAGAGAAGGTATCAAGTTGTACCACAGGGGGTTAGAAAAGGCCATTTTAGGGTATATGTTTCAAGTTGGCTTACTTTTCCTCCCGCCGCCCTCTCTTCTAGAAGCACAAAACCCATAAAAAGAAGAGCTATCGAAGGCAAGAATTCACACAAGCCTCTCCTTTCCCGTCTCTGCGTGGCTGACCCCAGTGGAAGGACACTGTTGTGTCTTTGCACTACCTGTGGTCAGATTGTTGAGCATGTTTATAAATGTTTTCTCCAGTTAAGCAACATAGTTTTATACATGTTAGGCAACATTTGTTCATTTGGGTAGACAGAGATCTAGGCTAGTAACTCCATATAAACAACAAAAGTTCATTTGGAAACCAGAATCTTTTCTTCTCCCATAACATTGCAAAAGATCATCCTCCTGCTAAGCACTCGGAAAGCCTTTGCCTATTATTGAAGTTCATATCCAGACATTATAACTGTTGCTGTTAACTTAAGTCCAAAAGGGGGGAAATAAAACTCAAACCAAAAAGCATGTGATTTGCTCAGTCATGCCAATCATGAGGCTTCGTTCAAGGTGTTAAATGTTCTTCAAGTGCTGATGCTCAGTCCTTCCTACACCACCTCTGTTTCGTGCTTTCTGAAGCTGTTCAACATTGCTCTAACAGGATTGGGTTCATTCTCCAAGTCTTTCACAGTTTTATTTTTCACACAGCAGCAACAGTCTAGCAGTTCATAGAGGAAAGCCAACACCACCAGAGAAACCACAGTAAAGATGAATATGATCAGAATAATAAAGCAGGCGGTGTTCCAGTTATCATGGAAAGGGTAAATTTTTTGCACTTGAAAGCCCAGATACTGGGAAACGGATGTGGTCTCATTCCAGTGAGTGGTGTTGAGGGTTGCCATTCTTGAAGAGTTGTCTTAGCGTGTTCACTGTCACCAATTTGGGGCTGCAACAGAAAAACAAAGCTGTTGAGGACTCTACTGGTCAACAACATTCTGTGATTTTTTTATCTTGAACTGGAGGAACTTATGCTCAGACTAAGTGCTCGCACCTCCTACCAACATGGATTGTTGTATGCTCATCTTTGCTTATGAAAGTATCACACTTCAAATATACAACTTTGTGATTAGTCTGGAACATTTATTTCAGGGGTGTCTGATCCATGCATGCATCAAGTAATCTAAGTTACTCTGGAAGGAGAGAGCTTTGCTTCTTTATTTCAAGTACATGAAAAGACAAAAAAGGTTACATGATTTTTTTTCAAGGTACCCTGTGGTTTTAATGACCTGTCCATCATTAGGCTTGAAGTTGGTGCTTGCATGTCATTCTTAGAGGATCAGGAGATCTGTGTACCACTCTCCCATACGTGAGCAATGAGAAGAACTTAACAGATGCTAATGTCATTGGAGCTTGCTTGTTTGGGGAGGGTTTTCTCCTGTTTGGGAGAAAGAAATAAATTACTCTTTAAAAAAAAAAGCAAAACATAAACTAACTATTTTGGAGGATGTTTCCAAAGAATGGAACTAACCTGTGGTCATTCTAGTACCAAATAACAGTCCTGGTTCCTTAAAACTCATTCTCTTAAATTGCCTGTGAGCAGAGATTTGTTAACCCTGCGAAACTCTTGTGGTTTCAGAAGGCCAGATTTTCTGGCACATTCATTCTCTTCTTCTGTTGAGTAGAAGTTTGTGCTTGAGAAATCCAGCTGCCCAAATGGCACTGAGCGCATCTGGAAATCTTGTCCTGTTCGTGGTGCCATGGTTGGTGGGATATACAACAAGGAAAACCCAACCCTTTCTAGGGAGTTCTGGTTTATTTCCAATAGCATTCTCTGCTTGACTGCTAGGAAAGGAATGTCGTCTTTGCTCCAATACTGTCTGTTTGTACCCAGCAGAAGAAAAGACTGCTTTGTGGCGTGGGGGAGACGTGAAACAAGAAGTTGGCTCCAGCAAATCTGCCTTTGGCACAAATAGGATTGCTGTGGAAATGAGCTGTTTGGGGAAGGCCGTTGCTGAAAAGTGTGAAAGGCTTTGCCTCAATAACTTCTGTAGTACAAAAATAGAACAAAAAAGCAGTTTTGTCTGTCTCTGAATTTCTCTGTGAATTATGGATAATTCACAGGCATATGAGGTGTTTGGCAATAACGTATTTACAGTTTTTCCCCTGATTTCCTTCTTTCCCTGTCATTGCCTCCCAAAACTGAGCAAACTTATGGTACTTCTCATGTATAGTCTAATATAATAACAGCTGACCAAGGAATCATAGAATCCCAGACTGGTTTGGGCTG